TAAGTGAACATAAGTGAACATAAGTGAACATAAGTGAACATAAGTGAACATAAGTGAACATAAGTGAAAATAAGTGAACATAGGTGAACATAAGTGAACATCAGTGAACATAAGTGAACATAAGTGAACGCAAGTGAACGCAAGTGACCGCAAGTGACCGCAAGTGACCGCAAGCAAGTCAACGCAAGACTACGCAAGACAACGCAAGTCAACGCAAGTGACCGCAAGTCAACGCAAATGAGAACAAGAACACGTGCTAGTAGGCAGAAAACACACCAAAGTCATCAAAGAACTAAAATTCTACATGCAAAAGTGCTTCGCATTTGTTGAAACATACCAGCGGATGCAAAAGAACGAAAATGAACGCTGGTGTACATACTAGTAGGCAGCCATGGTGTGCAGAAGCGTCCAAGAATGCTTGCCCAGCTTAACTCTATCCGGTGGACACTGCACCTTCTCATCCTTTAATGACACTCCCTCATCTACTACACCTGTACTTGATTGATTAGCTGTGCTTGATGAAGTTTCATTTGATGTACTAGCATTGGCACTATTTGCTTGTGACGGTGTTGATGCTTTCTTGCTCTGCTTCTTAGCAAAGCTGCTGAAGTCTGAGCATACTGTGCAGGGCTTTTTGCTCTTTGCACCGTGTGTCAGTGTATCACTGGCGACGTGTGCGTCTGTGCTACCTTGCGCGTCGCTCATTGTGACTGAAGACCAATGTCAAGTAACAGCTACCGAGTCCTCAGCACGTTACTTATAAGCTACGGTGTGCTGGTTAAAACTTATCGAATTCAAACGCAACGTGTCATCATAAAATGAATCGCAATCGTAATCATCAAATCCAATAATAAATTTACCTTTTTACGTTATGGTCAACGTTTACTTTGGTTTGGTCCTGAATGGTTCAAAAGGGTTCCGTTTTTCGGTTCTGAGTTACAATATATAACAACTTTTTCCTTATATAGTCCGATTGTTTTGCACAGTGGGTTATAAGTACATACTACATACCCTTTTTCCCTCTTTAATACGTTATAACGTTTGACCATCAAACCGTTGTGTTTGCGTTCAACGTATAGGCTAAACTATCATAACGTATTGAGGTTTCTCAGGTGATGGCCTGCCGTGCTCATATATACAGTGTAGATGGCCTGCCATGCTCATATATACAGTATAGATGATACATGTGTACATATCACTGT